CCAAGTGATAGATGAAATAACTAGGAAAAAGAAAATATGATGATGTTTTTAGAGTACCAGATTATGTGAAATATTTAGGTGTCTGTTTTGCTGCATATGACTTAGAGTAAGAGTTTAAAAGAACTGGCCCACAACAGTGCTGTATAGTTTCTGATCTAATAATTACTTTTCAAATTTTTGTATTCTTTTCTTCCTCAGAAGAGAAGCCAAAACCAGATCCAGTATTAAAGTCTCCTTCCCCAGGCCTTAGGCTAGTCCTTAGTGGGGAGAAGAAAGAACAAACAGGCCAGACATCTGAAACTACTGCAGTAGAACCCATAACAGAGCTTCCTCTGCCTCCGTCACCTACTGTTTCTCCAATTGCTCGAAGTACAATTGTTTCTCCCGCCTCTGCTGCTCTTAGTAGCCAACCAATATTCACCACTGCTGTAGATGATAGATGTGAACTCTCTTCCTCAAAAGAAGACATAGCTCCTATACCCAGCCTCCCATCTTGCACAGAAACATCAGACCCTTCACCATCAGATGAAATTGATGATGATATATGCAAGAAACCCTGTAGTGTAGCACCTAATGATATTCCACTGATTTCTAGTAATAACCTAATTAATGAAATGAATGGAGTTAGTCAAAAATTACCAGCCATGGAGAGCATTGTGGAAATAGTGAAACAGGAAGTATTGCCATTGACTCTAGAATTAGAGATTCTGGAAAACCCCCCAGAAGAAACAGAAGTGGAGTGCATCCCAACTGCTGTCACCCCTTCCACAGTTCCTTCCTTTTCTCCAGCTCCTCCAACTCCTCCAGCCTCTCCGCCTCCCACTCCAGTGATTGTACCTGCTGCCGCCACTACTGTTACAACTCCAAGTGCTCCCACCACAGTCCAGAGAGTCTTAGAAGAGGGTGAGAACATAAGAACTTGCCTTAGTGAAGATGTAAAAGAAAGTCAAAACAAAATAGAGGTACAAGCAGATGGGCAAACAGAAGAAATCGTGGATTCTCAGAATGTAAATTCAAGGAGGAGCCCTGCCCCAGGTAAGCCATTCTGCCATTAATAATCTTATGCTTGCTGAACATGAAGAGGCACTGTTTGAGTAATTTTTTAATTGACTACTTTCCTTGACTTCCAGAAACATCGAATGAATGCTGAAAATTCCTAGTCTGGTTTCTTCAGTGGTGTGTTTGTGTTTTAGTACAGCCTGCAAAAGAGTTACTCCATTGTCTAAAAATGCAAATGAGAATTCCCAAATATACAAATTGCCTCCAAGGTATATGTCACTATACATGTTTGGTTGTGTGGGGTTTTGTTTTGTTCTGTTTTTTCCCTCCTTTGGACTTATCATTCCTCAGGGGTTTATTTTGTTGCTTTGGGACTGGAAATCAGTTAAAACCAGTGTGATCTATTGACCCTAATCCCATCTTCTCAAAATTAAAAACCCAGTCAGTCTTCGATCTAAAAGAACTTTTTATGCAAGACCTCTTTTTAAATCTTTGATTAGGGAAATAACAATCAGAATGCCAAAGCTTTATAACTACTTTTGGAAAATAAAAGTGCCATCTTGATTACAGGGATCTTCACCCACAGTCAGCACCGTGGCTTCCAGCCTGCCTTACCTTGTGTAGCGGCTGAGCTCCAGCTTAGTTCTTGAGGTAGTTTTCCTTGTCTACGTCTAGGGAGATAACTAATCCCTTGGACCTGTCTAGTTTATTATAGTGAGCCAGAGGAGATAAGCAAACAATGCAGGGCATTTGGGACAGGGAGAAATTTGTCATAAATCTTTCAAGTCACCAGTTTCCTCCACAGACTGGCCTCCGTTGGCATCAGTATTCAGTGAGCACTCTCTCAGGAACCTTCCTTCTTGCGGGGAAGATGACATGTGGCTTTATTGTCAGTTTTACAGTTTAAAAGCAGCTTTGGGTTTGGTGTGACTACAGGTGAATGCCCTCCAAAAGAACACCTGTTTGTTGGAGAACTGTAATCTTTGTGACCCTTCATTGTTTTATTTACCAACTCATGAGTTGTCATTCAACAACTAGTGATGTGGTAGTTACAAAAATAAAAGCAGCCTATGAAGACAGATGTGTAAAAACCATAACAAAGAACAGAAAGTTAAACAAAATAATCATATGAAATGCAAATCAAAGGTTCAGATTGTACTCCACTAATGAAATAAGTGTAAAGTAAGACCCAGCATCAAAGTCATACCTCCCTTATCCCTGACATTTATTCTCCTTTTAAGCAGTTAGAGACTTAAGTGGCCTGATACTGCAAGACAGAGATAGATGGACAGACAAACTGAATTTGGACTCTAGTAGTCTTCATACATTTTAGTGGAGTTAGTCATAAGTCACCCACACCTTAGTCATGAGTGTAGACTCTTCACCAGTAAACCATAGGGTACATAGTGAGGAAAGAACAGTCTTGGGGATAAGGTAGAGGTGGATGGTGACAAGAGGCAGTGTGTCTTGGCAGTTTTCTAGTCCCATGGGATTTTTAGCCTGCAAATGTCAAGGACTAGACGTTCTGTAATTTCTCTTCACATCTGAAGGTCTCCAAAATCCAACAGTAAATGAGCCTGAAGAACCTGTGTGACTTAATTTTTAAGAGTGTGCTTGCCAGAGAGAGAGAGGGAGAAAGGAAAGCACCTCCCATCCTTTGCAGAATGATCGTAGTGCAATCCCTTCTCTTCTAGCTCCATTTCCTTTCAGAATGTGGGCATGTACAGACTTGCCTGACAAGCTTCTCAAACTGCTGGGTCTGGGACTTGAACCAGGCAGTCAACAATATGAGATCCACCTGCTTTAACCACCAGGCCATGGAGTCAGCCCTTTTTTTTTAACTGCCAGAGGGCATATTTCCTCACCAGAGAGAAGGAAAAAGAGAGAAAGCACCTCCTGCCCCCACCATGGAGCTTTGTCGTGCCATAGTCCCTTTTCCTCCATTTCTCCATCCTTTCAGGATCTTGAACACGTGCACACTTGCCCAACATGGTTTGTGTGTGTGTGTGTGTGTGTATGTGTCTGTGTGTATGTGTGTGTGTGTGTTTAAGAACCGGAGAGACAGAAACAGGAAGAAAGAAATCACCCCCCAGGGGGGGATGGCCACGCTATAGTCTCTTCTCCTCCATTCTCCTCTAGGGATTTTGGGCACACATGCATATGCACCCAGCATAAGTTTTAAGCCACAGGTTCAGGACTAGAACCCCAGTCGACTATGTGGGAATTGAGCAACATAACCATTACGCCATATGCTGGTCTTGTCCAACATGAATTTTAAACCACCAGAACTGAGATTAAAACCATGGTCAGCCATTGTGGAATCATCTCCCTAACTATTTGACTACAGGGCCAGCCACTGACTCTTTCTTCTAATATTTTTCAGTGTTTTTTGCCATGAAAGTTAACAATGAGTTAAAATTACTGTTAGTCTTTAAATATATCCACCTGAAGTGGTTATATGCTTAATGACTACTGTCTTATTTGCACTCATTATTGCACATCACTGTACCTTGTTTCCTTTGAGAAATGAATCGTAACAATTTGGTTGAGGTATCAGTCTTTTGGGAATAGTTCCTACGGTCTGTGAGGATGAAACATATCAAAACAGACTTCAGAAACTGCTTACTTTTAATAGGCGTAATGTATAAATAACATTTATAGTTGGCATACAGATATATGTCTAAAGCTGCAAAGTCAAGTATAAGGGTTATGGTCTTTTTTCTTAATTCTACTAGGAAACCTTTTCCTGCAACTGTCTTAGATTATATTCTCAAGTGGATAAAAGTGTAGCAATTCTAGAACAAGCCCTGTAAAATGAGAGTTGTTTGAATATATCCTCTGAAAAGCCTCAGAGCTTAGCTAGACTTTTGACTACTTGTTTCACATAGTCACTTCAGTGTGCAGAACCTTCTAGTGCAAGGCAGTGGCTAGGGATAAATGAACAAACAATTTGGGGCTAAGTAGTCTTTGTACCATGGTACTTTAATTTTGAAATGTAGAACCTGTTTTGGACGCCTTTTTTTTTTAAGCTTTTTT